ACGGAATAGGAATCGACTTGAGAAATTCACTTATCGATGAAGTGGTTGATCGATTGTAGGAAATTTAGAAATTGAATGAGTAAGGTTCAAAATCAGTTCAACACGATATTCATAAGATAAATCGAATAAAAGGCAACTTACGTTTATTGAGAAAATTCTCAATAAGGTGTACAATGATTGACCGGTCAAGAGTTCAAACTCTGAAGTAGCGACAAAAGATTTAGGTTGGACTTGGAATCATGACCTGTACTTCTGAATTCCAACTTGGACTTTTTTCTCTTAGGCCAAAGATTGCTGTGTCATCCGACCGAGCTGGACCAGCTGACTTCTGCTCCGCGACCAATTTACTACCTTGCGAATATTTAGGACCTGTAGCCGAGGTGAGATTTGAAATTGCTGCCGAAACTTAGATGTAACGGTGGCGAATTACAAAGGATCTTAGCAGGTCGATCAATATGACGTCATACGTCGTGAAGAATAAAAATAGCAAAAGAACAAGCCCAAAGATGAGCACAGGCTCCCATCCGGACGTAACAGTAACAATTTTGCGTGCAAACCGAATAAATGACATCGACCTGAATTAGTAGATTATGCAATTAGTTCGTCAAGTGAACTTTTTTTTTTCACCAACCGCGATCGTGGACCGAGACTTGTGGCGATCACGCGAGTGAAAGAAAAATCACGTGCGAGTTGCATGAGCTATTTTCTGCACAGCCGTGAGTAAAGCTCATGTGTGATATTCGATTTTCAGTGCATAAAGTGTAATTTTCACATTGCGCACAGTATGAGAGAAAGTACGCTTTAGACGCACTGCAAATCGAACTTTGCACATGAGCTTGACTTACGGTCGTGCGAAAAATAAATTAATACATCAACAAGTGTCTCGATGAGTTTGCGTTATCAGTCGCGTAATTAAATGCTGGGAATAATCACGTGTTAAATAAATTAAACCAAACTTTGGTGCAACGGCTGTTATCATTTGAGCCGCGCGAAAGCATTGTCGATTAAGGGAGAAAGGTTCACGTCGATTTTCAACTGAACTGAAAATGGTTTTGAAAATTTAAAAAAAAAATTAAAAATTGAAAAAAAATTCTTTTTCCAAATATTCCACAGAGTTTGGTGAACTTCGTTAAACCGGCTATAATGGGGTGTTTCATCGAAAGCCAATTACTATCAAAGCCGCCATGATGCAGCGCCGCTGTGCAACACGATACAATGGGGACATTGACGAATCGACGAAGCAATGGTTATTGTGAACATGACTAATTGGCTGCGAACGTAAAGAGAGAAAAGCAACGGGGTCAGATCGGGGACGGGAGGGAGGGGCGAGGGGTAGACACGACGAATAAAAGGCAGAGGGTGGAAGAATCCCGGTAATATTGTCGGTATAAAATTCCTCCCTGGGGAGTTTTTCAGCCCATTTGATCCCGGGTAGCTTCCTCAAGGAACGTTGAAAGGGAGAATTTTTACTTCGTTGAAACTCATCGAACTCTATCCGAAGCTATTATTCCCTATAGGCAAGTATTCGGGACTTACTCCAACGTAGATATCCCATAGAAGGAGAAGAAAAAAAACACGTCTACAACAGAACAATTGTATTGCAACAAGTTGTTGCAACATACGTAACTTTCGTAAAATCCGAAATTCCCTACTTTCTTGGAATTAAATTTTGAGATACATGTAAACAATTAGTACTGAAAACGCATGTAATCGATAAAGCTCCGTAACTCAATTTAAAGGTACATACGTGTTGAAAATTTCGATAAATGTATCGATGTCAGTGCACTTTTAACGTTATTAAAGGTTGGATGAAATTCCGATGGTCCGTACGTGAACTCTGGTTAACCCGAACGAAGAAATACCCGGTTGAAATAGCTTTCTGCCATTTGCCTTCACGTGTTTACGGTATATACGTGGCATATCGAGGGGTACGTATTATACGGAATTGCAGCATCCTGGTGTAATGGCGAAGATCAAAGGAGAACCTACGGCTGAAAGGTAACTGAGTCAGTACTCCGCTCTCTGAGTAGAGAGACACACAGGCATCATATCTATATCTTACCATCCATATACGAATATTGATACATATTCTGCGCATACTTGCTAAGTCCATAGAGATACATACGTATATTAAGAGACATGCATTTACGAACACGCAGATCGACAGTTACCGCAAAACTGAACAAAATACGAAACGCAAGAGACAGTCGTAAGCCTTCAAAGAAAGCAACTTCTCTGAATGCAATAATTAAAATCAAAAAACCAAATAGTAAATAAAAATTAATTAAATTCACAGATAAAACTTCCAAATCAATTCCACGAGCTCGAGTTACGTTGCGCAATAGTCAATCTCTGCGTATATCGCTCGTATAGAAGTTAAACAAGTTATCGAACGCCTAAAAATAGAATGTGACTAAACAATACTTTATAACGAGGTTTTACTTATTGCGTAACAAATTTTTTTTGTACCGTTAACAGAAATATGGGTCTTTTACGTTTTTCTGAATTCCTGTCTCATTTTTTTATTTTCAATCCTTTTTTTTTCATATTACTTGTCTTTCTGCCTATCAAGAACTTGACTGTACGTACCCACGTGGACGGTGTATGACATCACTCAGCCAATAATCCTACTTTGAGCTATCCCATGATCCGTTTGTACATTAACGAAACGACACCGCATAATTCGCGTCAAAGCAATCCCGTGAGATTATTTTGTCGTATTGATAAAGAGCGCCGTTATCGATCGTCGAAACTTCCAAAAGAGCACGTCCATTTGCCGAAGCGCAGTTAATGGACGATGGCTTCATTTGCATGGTCGAAACGTACGGCTAATTCGTTAATTAGCTTGGACAGCCTTTGATCTGTACTTCGTGCGCAACCGTCGTAACAGAGCAGAGATGCCCGAAAGGTACTTGGAAAATTTGCTAGAAGTCCGCAAAATTTCCGTCGTGCATTCAACGGACAGATATACGTACGTATACAGTCAGAACCAAATAGAGAGCGTGGAAAAAAGTTTTTCGAACGTTTTTAAAAATAGAGATAAAACTGTAATGAAATGTGAAGGAAAGAAAGAAAAACAGTTTAAATTCAGTTCCTACAATTTGTCCCGCTACTAGCGCCATCTGGATTTACGTAAACTCCGTTAGTGTATATGTATATGCCCTACCTAAGTAAGGTACGCTCGTTTACCGTCGTAGAATTATTATGTAAAGTGTTTACGAGAAGCGGGAATAGAAGCCGCGCGGAGGAGGAAGAGCAACGCCCGTGCAGCTTCGAACTTTCGTTACTTCCTTGGCCTCTCGCATTTTCACCAAGTTCTATTCGCGTTTGTCTTTAACGATTCGCCAGGGTCTTTGAATTATTGCGAAAGAAAACGGAAAAGACTCGCCAACCCGATTTCACGGTAAAAACTTTAGTCGTCGTAGTACGTACAGACGGTAAGAAAAATACGCAGAAACAAGGAAATGCAATACGTACTAGAGTCTATGTACCTTGGCATCAGGCAGTCCACTGCTCTCGTGACTGGCTGTACGTGGAAAAAGGCAGTTTGACCTACTCGATATCCCCTGGGTGCATCGACCGTATTAATTTTTTTTTCAAAATGATTTTAAAAAAGAAAATACGAAATCGAACACTTATTTTCTTGTGCAAAAATGCACTGCTGAAGTCAATGCTAGTGCATTTGCTTAATAGCGTAGACATAGTAGCTTTGCCATAGTAGCTGCCGGAAAGGGTAGTAGCGGTACCAGTAATAGTAAAAAAAAAAACAATGTAATTCTGAGAAAACAATAGAATGAATTTCATTCGGAAAGGATCTTTGGATTGTTGGAATTGCAATGAGATTAAAGCGCGAAAAGTGCAATACAATTCTAGGCAAAGGATGCACCGATGAGTTGGAAGAAAATGCACTTTGTAATTCGTTATACGCGTATAGATATGCAGTAACTATAGATATACTAGTGTCACCATCAGTATTTTTTATCAGTATAAATCCTTAACCCTCAATTGCGTGGTGAAAAGAAAAAAAGAACTCACGTTCGTAAAGTCACGATCTTACATGGGTCCCAGAGACCCACGGCACCAGTTGAGGGTTAATACCTACAGCGAAATCAACTGGGTTTCTCAGTGCATATCAAAAGTTATTCTCGTCGAAAAAGTCCAACATGAAACTTCAGCATAGAGTGACGTCACTTTGCCAATGATACTCTCTCTCGCACTTGTTGGTTGCGTTAAAAACGCGCCGGTAGACGCGGATCGATCGCGAACCTGCATTCCCAGTCGCGTTCAGTTAGCTCGTGTATTTTTCGCACGATTTTTCACTACTTCTTTTCGAACCTATCTTATCCTTCTTCAACTTCTTCCATCCATCTGCTTTTACTCTAAATAGATATACGAGCCAGCCATACATGCCGCGTTTAGATACCCTCTGCGTCGGTCGCACTGCGAAAGAGCACGTCTCTGACTATTTCTGCGAGTTTAACGATCACGAAAAAAAAAAAAAAAGTAGGACGATCGAAAAATAAGAAAAGTCGAACGATCAAAAAAATGTAAAATAAAAAGAAAAGTACAAATGTAAAATCTAACTGATAGCGCGGCACAGTAAGCTGCTTCGCAGTAATTTCAGTGCATTTCAGTTAGTATATAATTTTGTTCCTTGCCAAAGGAATTTCATAGTCAGGATGAGATCGGATCGCGTCAAGGAGCTTCGTGAATTCTCGTGGGCGCTACGAGTCAGGGTGTTTTCATTGAAATTCCTCGTGATCCCGTCGAGCTCCGACAGAGTCCAAGGTCCCACCCTTTAAAATTCCCGGCGTGCAAATGCTCGTAGATTTACTGCAAGACTCGTTCCCCTTTCTCCGAGAATACCGATTTTCCCGCAGCTACGAATTTAAATCCGCTGAATTTTTCGTGACCATCCAAACTTTCCACGTTCATGCGCCGACGTTAAGTCTATCTAGTTTCACGGCAATTGACTCGAGTTATTTTCGGTGAAGACTCACCTTAAAGCAACGTCGTGCCTCTTTAACGAGATCACTCCTCCTTCCCTTTAGCTCCTCGTCTTGTTCCGCGCGCGTTTCTCTGTCCGTCGACGTTTTCCCCGTCCTTGACGATCGACCGATCTGCAACACAGAGCAAAGGACGTTGTAGCACAGGGTTGGACTAGAGTTAAACTTTAATTAGGCCGCACGCGAAACCCTGTCGTGCCGAATGTGACGGACAAGTAAATTGTCGCTTCCGTGGTAAAGGCCGGCTTCCACTGGTGCCACAGAGAAACGTGCATTGGAGACTTCGCGTGTTGACGGTACATCGAACACACGGAGTTTCGATTTCCGTTTAGTAAGCGTGCCTCCTTTAATGCGTCCAGCACTTTGGCCTTATTCCCATCGAACTACGATAATTATAAAATACAGTAAGGTAAGCTCGACTCTAAGCGAATATCGATCACGCGAATGTAGATTTAAACCTCGAACGGCTTAAGAGAATTCAAACAGAAAAACTTAATTTCGAACGTCAATTCATTGTCACCGATTTCCCATCTATTTGCGGAACACACTGGCCCATCTCTCTATCCGAGAGAGTTTCGAAACTTACGAAAATAGGAACACGAAAATAGAAGGGCTCCATACGTACCTATAATCGTTTCACACGAAAAAACATTTAAATTTCGTTAAAGACATCTTTTTCTTTTCAATTTCACCTATAATCTCGTATTAATACACACAAACTGTATTTTTCCAAATGTTAGTTGAATTTTGCTCTGGATTTTGTAAGATCACAGACTTTTCTATCTTGCCGATCGAAAATAACGAAGCTGATACGTTTTTGACAAAACTGATCTTATGCAAAATACAGGGAACTGACACACGTGACGTCACGGAAAAACAATTTTGGGTGGATCAGGTGGCTCGCAACGTGTTCGAAGAGAAATATTTGTGCACAAGAAAAAAAAAAACGAGATACGAGAAACCAAGCGAGAAATTACCCGCGGAAACCAAACTATTTGAATTTACTGGTGCGAGTATAAAAACAATTTTCTTCAAAAGTTCATCCAGCATCCATCAAAGCTTAATTAGATTCGGATACCAAGATTCCCGGACTCTCAGGTATTTTTATTACGGGATACGGAATGCCATGAGAGAATGAACCAGGGATGATTGGTAAGGTCATTTATTTAACATTAAAAACTGTCAATCCCCCATAGAACGTCGGAGGCGGACCCAATTTAATTTATATTTAGACCACATCGAAACACGGTTATAATTATTTAATATTCAGACGGTAACCTCCCGTAAAAGGGAAAAATTAAATACCGAATTCAAAAATTATCCCAAGATACTGAATTTCATTAAAACGCCACAGTGTCGTTATTTATTCTTTACTAAACCAGTCTAATTTCGGCTATAAAAAATCATCCCAAGTGTCTCTGACGATCATAGAAAAACGTTGCTGGAGATAAATTAGAAATTAAAAAAAAAAGCAACGTACTGCAGTTTTCTGCATTTTAATAGTTTCGAAAAGCCCGCGTAATTCAATCCATCGGTACTAGATCCCGTACAGAATATCGAAACTCGATTAGTCGGTACGATACGTGCGCCGCCAGTATCGCCAGTACGAGGATAATGTCCTGCAGGACACCAGGGTACAGCTAGTACCTATCACGAAGGTCCTTTCCAGGAAGAGAAAAGTTCAGCAGGTCAACGTGTACACCGTTAACACGCACCTGGAACTCTGCCAAATCGACAGTTAACTTCTTCCCGAAGTCGAGATTAGCAGCCGCGCTCCTCGGATCAGAGTCAGCTCAGAGTAACGCTTCACGAAAGGTGGTCGCGTCTCTAATCCGCGACGTCGACACTCGCACTGGTGGATGCAGTGAAAATCGCAAAAATAGAAACGACCTCTTTGTCTCACACGCTCGCGAACTCTACGGCCATACGTATACTTTCATCGACGCGAATTTTACCCTCACCGTATACAGCCTCCTTCGGAGAAGCACCGATAGAATATACGAAAGGATCCCAAAAACGCTAAGCAAACGGAACGATCCCTCAGGGAAATGAAATTATTCAAGACCCATTTTATTTGACATCGCCAGCAACAATCGTTGCGACAGTATGCCTAATCTATTGTTGAACGTGCATTCATAAATTTCAATAATCTCACAATACAAAATCAAAGACAAATCAGGAAGCTAAAGGCTACCGCGTAGCTGGCATAACGTAAAAGCAAATTCCTTCGTAGTCCCACACCCAGCATCAACGTTATCTCAGTAAACGAATCTGCAAAGAGCCACAAGGTGTTCTTCGTCCATCGTGAATAATGCAGCGTGTCGAAGATACGGGGATAGAAGAGCCAGGGCTGCACAACAGTAGTAAAGTCCTGAAAGTTCCAATCGATACGTAGACACGTCATCATCCCCTACGGGCTCCCACTGGTTGGCTTGTTTATTTCTTCTTGGCTATTTACTGCCAAGGGTTAATGGACGCTCGACGCTGTCATCAGGATCTGGGACGCCAGGCGTCTCTGCAAATATATGCCAGAAGGAAATCGAGAGGGTTGACATAATATCCTAAGAGAAATAAGGATTTGAACAGACGGGATCCTAATTCGTTGTAAAAGCACCCCCTATCCCTAGCAGAACTACCGGGTTGTCATCAACCTCCTCAGACGACCCTTCGGCACATATACCCTTCACGCAGTTCATCGAGTAATCAATCTAGCCAATTAGAAAATTCGAGGACGTCGTCGTCGAATTTAATGAGGGGCGTACCGTGCTACTTCCAACTATAATCCACGTCACTCTAAAATCCCAGTAGGAATTAGCACAGCGTCCTCGGACTCCTGGCAAGCTGTCCGTCGGCGATTCCCGTCGCGAGGATCCTGTCATAGTCGAGACAGCTCTGTCTGGTCTATACTCCGAGAAGGCAGGTTTAATTTATCGTATCGAGTTACGGATGTTAGTTTACGTCAGTACACTTTAGACACGGCCCTAGAGCTGATAGTTATCTTGGTAGCGATACTACCTAACGGCCGGTATGGTATGTGGAAGTTTAGTATCGATCGTTTGTACCTACGGTATATAACGAGCTAATGGGAATCAAACACGAAAATTCATTTACAATATCTTTAAGTCTATTTACACCGTGGATAATGCTGTGCCGTATGACGCTAAACACCAAAAGTTACGTATTCGCGTGACGTTTGATTAAAAAAATAAAAGTACGCGTACATCATGCGTAACGTGGACGATCTCTGCACTGTCGACACGCACGACGGTTTTCCTTTCTTCTTCTCTTCCCTCAGAGTCCTAAGAGTCTCCTCGTCGTCGCGCCAACGGATTTTCTCCCTCCTTTCCTTTCCCGAACGGCTGACGCTTATCGGCGAATTCCTCGTAGCGTCAACCAAATCCTTTCGACACTTTATCACCGCTCACGAGTGACGTAAACACGTGAAATGTCGGACCAATTTTTACTTCGTCGTGAGAAACTTTTTGTTTTTTCCAAATACGTAGGAACGTCCAATTTGTCCATTTTATACGTATAACAAACGAAGAAGGGCATTCTACACGCATATGCATTTTAACGAAAATGGGTACGTGTCCTTTTGAAAAACGAAGTTCCTCCTCACCAAAGGAAATTAATACAGCGAAAAACTGTAAATATGATATTTTTCCGAAAAGATGTATAGATACTTTTTTTAAATTGCATATCAATTAGTATGTAAGTGTTAATATCCCAAAAAAATAGTCCATGCAGCACAAGCAGTAAGAAAAGATGCTGGTTAGCCGTATACCGTACTATGGTATCTTCATGAGAATTTCCCCAGAGGTTACGTGAAAACGGTCGCTGTGGCCGCAGTAAACTTAGCCGCCGCCGCCGTCGCCGCCACCACGCACTTAATTCGTATCGCCTTTCCAAGAACAAACATCTCTCCCTTGTTTATCCAATTATTTAGCTCGCAGCATCCAGAGTGTACCCGCAGGCATCAACGACGTCGAGATCCGACGCTTTCCGGGAATTGGCGTCGGTATCCATATCATACGTACATTCGCTAGCCAAAACGATGCCAGCAATACGTTTCTACGCCGTACCGGAATGACTGGAGCAAACTTTTTTCATATTAACGTTCCAGGCTGGTTTCTCCCTTTTTGCGTCTTAACGTCGATAAACGAGGCGTCTATGAGACGCTGGGACGGAGACGCCGTACAGTGTTCGTCCGTGACGCCGAAGGACTTGGATAATGGATGCTCGCTGAACTGTAGTCCAAAGGGCAAGAGAAGTACAGTGCTAAGGGAGAGCACAAAGCCAGCACTGTCAGGACCATATAGAGCTTTGCACTATGGTCCAGTGAGCCATGGATCATTACGTGGAAACCGTAGGACCAAGGGACGCCGTAGGAATAGAGTGGGAATCGCCATAGAGTGCCATTCTGGAATGTCAGCACTGATTACGGTAACTGAAAATTTAATTGGGAGGAAGTTGGGAGGAAGTTGGGAAGATGCCTCGGATGTACCGGGTGTCGTACTCAAAATATAGAAACTGAATTTCTATCGTGTAGCGTGCAACATTACAATTAAAATCATATTTTATTTGAACGATAATTTCGCTCCGAAAACCCGACTGGATGTACAGGCTTCTATCCGAAGATGACGTAGGGGATCAGACCTATCCAGAAAATTTGAACACCCGGTACCACGAAATAGTTGACTCATTACGGGAAATGGTCCTGTCGGATTACTTCGTTACCACGGAAAAGGTACGAAGGATCAGCAGCCCTTATTACCTGCAGGGGTTGAGAGGACGGAATCAGGTAATTCTCTGTCTCACGTGGGAGAATCATTTGGCACGCGCGTCACGCTTTATTCCGTGAATGGTAAAGGGGGCGTTGAGTTTGCGAAAGGGTAGAGCCTCCTTTTGAGAAGTGAAATAACAAGGGAGGTGCGTGACTTTAGAGTGGGGATTGATTTTGCGGAAGGGATTGCAAAGAAGGGCGAAAAGGAAGGAAGGAACAGAATATAGAAGGGCTCGAGAAGCTAACAGGGCACTTGACCCCGGGCAACCCTCGAGCCCACAGTGGTAGTCGATAATCTACCGGAAGTTCTCAAGCATCCTTCACCCATCCA